TGACCCTACCGAGAGGTTAAGCCCCCGCCAGCACATCTGTCGATGTGATCAGAGCACGCAGACAACTCCTTCACATTAAGATTATGCTTACAATCCAGTCATTGATCCTGCATAGTTCAGCAGATAGCTTGCAGTTTGTACCTAGCGATGCTATCCCTGTAACAGGCCGTGGCGTCCCATAGGGTTGTGAGACGTTGAGGCTCTCACATTTTCTAAACAATCGACTCATTGATGGCGGTGAGGTTGTGTGCCTTATGCGCCGGCTGCCCTTTAATCCCGTAAAGATTCCTGGTACTCATTTCTGTCAGAGGCTGAGTCTACCCCAGAGCCATATTGCGGCTGGAAGGATTGGGTCAACTAAGAAATCCGGTGACCTCATCGGGACTCGAACTCGCGATATTCCGGCTTGTAGCATAGTGCCTCAGCCAACTACCCTATCGCGTGTCCCAGCGATGCGGTGGTCCGACGTCTTACAGAGCCTCATACATAATACAGACAGAGAATTCTGAGGGTGAGTAGTATATACCAGATGTTAAGAAAAAGTACGTTTCAGATGCTCCCGAAATCGTAACAGCGAATTTTGGTTGTGTGTACGTCTCTGTAAAATTATAGTGTCCGTCAAGTCCCTTTTCAGTATTTACTCCATGCACACAGGATTATGAAGGAGCCGGAATAGTTCAGTGGGTATATCGACTAGGCTACCGGCCTATAAATCGAGGTTCGGCAGGGACAGGAAATTTCCCTCTGATCCACAACGTCCGAACCGGCTCTGGGTCCCGCCCATCCTTCTGTTCAGCGGGTACCGGGAGCTCTTTCTCCGGGCCAAAGCAGCTGGGACGTGGAGCTGACCACTCACCTCCATCCAGTACCGAGTTTAGGAATGGAGGACTTAGTTCTACTCCCCCATACGTCTTCACGGCTTAGTGACTGATCAATTAGGCATAGCGGTAACTTTGCCTTTTACATGGGGATATGAACCTTGCAGTTTAATAATATAGGTCTCAGACTTTCCACGTTATCTTCCAAACAAAATTATATTCTCTCGAGAACCATTATGTCGATTTTGTTTCGTTTTACCTCTTTATAGAGAGAGAGTTATGTCCCAAATGACACCGCGTTTGTCACTTGTACCGTGCTTCGTCCCTGAGATAGCCTTATTTTTCTTCACATTTTGAGAGAGACTGTGTCATGTACTGCGCAGGGCTTTCCCGTATAAATGGGCCTGAATATATTTCGTCACGAGTTACTGAGTTCTTCACTGTGTAATTCCCTCCATCCGCCTGTTATATCCTCTCTTCTGTCCGTCTAAATTTTCTCCTCAGCACATGTTCCATCTGTGTTAGTGTCTTAGAGCGAGAGGTAAATATAATTTTGTATATTCGAATGTTGAAGTTCTTGGGACTTCAGAGAATGAATTGATTGTAACCAATTTGGGTCTGTCCACTTATGTTTCTGTGAAGCTACTGGGTAAATGTCTCTCTCGCATTAATCGGAAGTTGTTGCTGGCACCGCGCCATCTGCTCTTGTCTGACTCAGTTACATTCCGTTCCGCTCTTGGTTATTGACCACTTGGCAATTGACATGGAACATCACTTTCTTGGCACGGGCGGAGTAATTGTAACATGCATTGGTTTATTTCCCGTTCAATTTCACAAGACGATGGCCATGTCAGTGGGCCCCGCGCCCACGCATTAAACCAATGAAAATATATTGTGACGTGTATACCCATTGCTAGGCAACTGGTCGGTAAACACATTTCCGCAACACTAGCGCACGCGACAATAGAAGGACATCCATTGCTAGGTAACGCAGCTGTAAACACACTCTTAATAATAGAAGACGGTGTTTTCCATGGATGGGCCTGTATCGCCCAATTTCAGTACAAAGTGTACGTAATGGAATGTGCTGATGTCTGTTTGTGTGCTCCTGACTGTACAGTAATCCCGTAGGCCCACCGTTTTAAACATTTTTCAGTGTCGTAAACTGAGGGATCCTCGGGATTATTGGATTTTTGGGCTTATCCATCGTCCCGTAATTTAAAGAACGCCGAAGAACGTGACGTTTCGGAAACCGGATCTGTTTCCATCCTCATGTGTGGGTGTGGAGACTGCTGAGTCCGTTAGAAAGAACTAACCCAAAACATTAGGTGGGTTCCAGCCCTTCACTTGAGGACGGAAAGAGATACTTTTTCCGAAACATGTTCTTATATGTTTTTATTACAATGCCGGACGGTGTATAAATTCGAAATCTCAGTAATCCCGAGTGTTATACACCATCGCTAGGCCGTTTTAGAATGTGTATGTGAGTTGATGCTCGATTATGAAAGGGAATTTCGAATTATCACGTTTTCGTTACAGTAGTCGCCTTTGGTCGAATGGCAGTTTCTCTTTTATCTCAGGCAGATAGTCTTGTAATTGACGTCATGTATTAAACTTCTCTGGCGGCATGAAACTGAACTATAGAAGTTTATATTCATGGACATTAATGTAGTTTTCGGCATCCCGTCATGACGTAGGCAGTCATCTTTTAGTACGAAATGCTGCGTAATCAGCGAGAAATTTGGTTTAGGCAGTAAACCTTCTGACTTGTATTCGGAAGGTGCTTGGTTCGAGTCTTTCTCGACACAAATTGTGCTGAGGATTTTCGTGGTTTTCCTCTGTCACTCAAAGAAGATTCCAGAATATTAGCTCCGTATACTTTCCACTGGGACAGTCACTAATTACCCTGGCGTTTGGCGCTGTGTAGTACCGAAATTAATCATAAATAAATACCGTGTATACCTTCCTTTTTTTCCACTGGTGCTACAGCCCCTTTGGGGCCTACCCTCTGGTTTTCAGTTTCATGATCGTTTTACAGACGGTAGGACTCCTTGAACAAGTGATCAGCTCGTCTCAAGGCCCCTGCCTAAACACAGGACAACACAAACACAGAATAAACACATGCACATAACAAATATCTATGCCTTGTGTGGTATCTGAACCCACGATCCCGGGTTCCGAGCGAACGAAGGCAGTACATGCCTTAGACCGCTCGGCTACCGTGACCGGCATAACTTACAATTATTTTATGGAATGTTCCGACGAAGAACTTGTTAGATTAGTTACAGTGGCAGAGCCGTCTAGAGGTCGCTAGAACACTGAGACCATGGGTTCGATCCGTGGATGCATGTATGCGTTTGTGTGTGTGTTGTCCTGTGTACGTGTAGGTGCACGCCCCGCGGTGGGCCAATCACCCATTTAAGTAATCACCAATTTTGACGATAGGCGTTCTCATTCTCAGAAGTTAATTCTGAATTGGAAGATGCCATGAGGCCTAGCACGTAAAAGCTGGAGGAGGAGAAGTCCTTCGGGCTGTGCACCCTCCTAGAAGCGGCACATGCAGAAGTATGAATATGTGTCGGCATACATACATGGTTTGCAGCCTCTTGTTTTATGCTGTTAATTACTCCTCTAATTAAGTAGCCTCATGTACGTGATCGCCCTGCAGAAGCAGTCGAGTGTTACGTGGCTTTACATATTTCATGTTAGCTTCATCGTCATTCTCAAGAAATCTCGTCACTGGACCTTGTTATTTTCGTAATCAGTCATGTTATGCTACAAGCCGGATGTTCGTGGGGTCGACTCAGCCTGTAACAGAAATGGGTACCAGGAATTTTCCTAGGGGTAAACGGCGGCCGGGTCCTAAGGCTGACAACCTTACCGCCATCTGTGAGCCGATTGTTTAGAAAGTGTGGGAGCCTCGACGTCTCACAACCTTATGGGCCCGCACGGTCTGTTACCTTCTTTTTACCATCAGTTTTAACATGGAAGCCACATGCACAGAACACATGGCTTTAGGGCTGCATTGTTTTTCTGTCGAAGTGAAATGACGTTGCTCACTATTTTACGCGTATGATTTCTGGGGGCTTTTCCTTTATAAAAGGTCTTAAATATCTTTAGCCATCACTGCATATCTTAGAAGCTGGAATATTCATTTTTGATTCAGTATACGTAATTTTGTTCCATAATTTTGTTTTTAGATATATTTAATCGTGTTTTCAAAGAGTTGCAAGGCTTAATGCCACATGTCTTCACGCATAATAATTTCGTGGGATCGTTATACGTTTGTACTTGTTTCCAAGTCTCGAAAATGGAAATATTGTCACAAGCATTTTAAACCGTAAACACAACAACTATATAGACTTCGAGCAAAGTCTCCATGTTTATGGCTGAATATAAGAAATATTTTACCCTTCTTGTTGCTGTGAATCTCTTTGATTCATTCATCTGTAATCTGTCAAGACGACAGGTCCACAGTCTCATCCAAAACAGTTCCTCCACTTGATGCGATCTAGAGCTTTCTCCTTCAAATGAAAATATCCTCTTCTGTCCCCAAGGTCATCCAGCATCTTCTTACGTCTTCTTGTCACTTATATGCGCCCCTCTATCTTTCCTTCAATAACTTCTTTTAGAAGGCAGTTTCTGCGTAAAACATGACCAATCCAATTAGCCTTCCGTTTTCTTATTTCATGTAGGATATTCCTCTGCTCACTGACTCTAATTAACACTTCTTCATTTCTCACATAATCGGTCCAACTGATCTTCTCCATTCTTCTCCAACACCACATTTCGAAACTTTCCAGATGTTTCTGATCTACTGCCCTAAGTGTCCAGGTTTCAGCCCCATACAGAGCTATGCTCCAAATGTAGCATTTCACTAGTTTCTTTCTGAAATTTAAGTCCAATTTGCTGGTAAAAAGATTCTTCTTGCTAAATGCAGCTTTTGCCATGACAATCCTAGATTTAACTTCACACATACGAGTGTTAAAAAAATTTTGTATTATTTGTAAGAGCTCAAGGCTTAACGTTTCGTTGTTATTCGTGTCAATATGGTAACTTCACCTTTAGAGTGGATGTATTTGGCGCTCCTACTGCTTCCACACTAATCAGTTTCCCCACTTTAATTATGTTCTTTGAGGTTATAGTGGCCAACATTCTTTTATTACTGTACATTAATTTCAGGAAGCCGAGGAAGACATAGTTCCTTCTTGCGGTGCCTACTGCCACTCTCAGTCCTTTTCGCCGTGGCAAGACAACGACAAGAGTAGCAGAGACGGCGACGAAGGCGTCGCAAAGCAAGCCGGACGAGGCTGCTACTTCCGCTAGTGAATAACTGAGAGTACGGAAACAAACAAGTGCGTGAGTAACTTACAGAATCTCATTGAGTATTGTTTTTATTTATGAGATATCATGTACTGTCCGTATATTTGTCCTGGTCGTTCTGAGGAGAATGCGCAGTGCAGTTGGTTGAATCCAGAAGCTAATATGAAGGTTGCAGGGCTTTATTTACAGAATGTCACCCTTCTCCTTCCCACACTGCAGCCGCAGTGTCCCGTACTTATCCTTACGCGCAAACCAGAATGCAGGTCTGTGAACATGGCCTGTAGTACAGAAAGTTTTCTAGACAACGCTGCCCTGAAGCGAACATATGTGCGTTATAGTTCGGCCCGACTTTACGGGAGAAGCATGCGTCTCTTGCGACTCAGTCCGCGTCCTCAGAATAATCTGACTGTAGTAGTAAAAACGACTGTTACATCTTGGAGCTATACCGACCAAGCGACCGCCTCTTGTTGGCGATGTTAGTGCCAACTTTAGTGGATAGAGGGTGTCGCGTGGTCATCGCAACGGATAACGACGGCTGTTAATATCGGTTTTCTAGACCTGAACGGCTATTTCCTTGAAATAGCTCCTCAGTTATCCTCACGAGGCTGAGTAGTCCCCATTCAAGACCCACTACTTCTCAGAAATCTGGTAGCGTCGGGAATCGAACCCGGGACCTCCGGATTTGTAGCCAGGAACTCTGGCCACTAGACCACAGAGGCGGTCGGTATAACTCGTTTTTCCCCTAGTAGAATGCGAAGACATCGTGGGAATACCGTGCTTTTTAATACGAACAAAAAATGTGTCTTTGTATTTCGGACCTCTGCAGCTGCAGAGGTGAAATCTACACAAGGTAGCATAGAATATACGTGTATGCTGTGTAAATTTTTCTGAGTGGGAAGGCATTTGAGTGGTGAGAATAGGATGTGTGGGCCATTTTATATTTCAACAGATGACTGATTATACTGAAACAGCACCTTTATGGGAACGTTCTTGCTGCAATGAAACGGTATCATGTAATAGTTTACGCATATTTGTATAATCATATGTTTTAATGGAATTCCGAGTGGCTTATATTGCATTCCTGTTGATTCAGATTTGCGTGTAACGGTGTAGTTAAAAGGTAAATTTGTCCCCGCGCCTAACTAATTAAGCACTGCACCATGAAGGCGTATTGGGGAGTGGCTGTATAGATCCACATTTTCTTGAGCTCGGCACTAGTTGGAGGTGAGAGGTCAGCTTCACGTCCCGGACACTTTACCCCCGAGGAAAGATCCTCCAGTACCCATTGGATAAGGGGTTAGGTGGCCACCAGAGCCGGTCTGGACGACGTGGAGAAAATTCTTGGCCCAACCGGGATTCAAATTCCGACCTCTTGGTCGTCCAGGCCATAGCTGGTCGCTATATCGACTGCGCTATCGCGGCTCACAACGGCGTAGTTAAAAGAGAAAGAAAATAAAAATGACACAGTACGTACCCACGTACGTTTTCATATAAATCGTAAATCAAAATATCATGCAACCATTTTCAGGTCCCTTTCTATCATTCCTTTTTTGTTTTCCCCTGTAATAGCATTTTAGTACCAGAAATCAATTAGTGTTACAATGGAATGTTTTCCGTTACGCCCTTGCCCTTAATTGGAAGTAGGAAAGCTTACATTTTCTGGTTCTTTGTATTCTCGAGACGAAACAAGTTCTTGGGTCTACTTGGCACCTGTTTTCTTGATCGTTATATTCGTCGACCATGAATATGGAGGGGACGTGTTCCTCCGAAACATCGATTGACATTCAACGGACTGCACGGTTTTTTATCCCGGAACAAAGAATCCTTGCATAATTGTCGATTTAGTCACATAACAATATCGGTTTTCAGTTCAAAATGGCGTTTGATGTAGATGAAGTGCACCTGTTCGGAACTGCTACTAAATAAGGCTTTAGATTCTACGGTTTTCGTCCTGAAAAGGTGATTCACACCTTAGGAGCTCTTCATAAACAACGGTATCCCTGAAGGAAAAAACAGTCAGTCACGCCATATTCGGCTCCCAGTGAGCTCACGTTTTTAATATCACGGACGTTCCCAGGTTCGGCGTCGTAATATCTGGCCTTGGAGATTGGTGGAGAAACTTCTTTTTTTTTTCCTAGTAGTTTTAAATCGTTAAATTTGCGAAAGTTTTTTTATATAATATTAAATTTATTCTAATCTAGGGAAGGGAGCCTAGATAGCGCTATCGGTATAGCGATTGGCTACGGGCTGGAAGATCGAGGGGTAGGAGTTCGAGTCCCGGTAGGGTCAAGAATTTTCACTTCTCTTTGTCGTCCAGACCCGCTCTGAGGCCCACCCAACCTCCTATCCAATGGGTACCGGGGGTAAAGCTGTCGGGGCATGAAGTTGACCTCTTACCTCCAACTAGTACCGAGGTCAAGAAAGTGTGGGTCTGTACAATCACTCCCCCATACGCCGTCATGGCGTAGTGCTTAGTTAGTTAAGATCAAGGACAACTTTACCATTTTTAACCCAATATAAGGAAATGTCTGTTCAACTTGTACAGTGAATGCCTTACCAAAGAAGCTCTGGATNTGGAGAATGTGAAATGTTTTAAATATTTGGGTAGCTTGTTAACAGATGATGGAAGGTGTACTTGTGAAATTAAATCCAGGATTGCCATGGCAAAAGCTGCATTTAGCAAGAAGAAGAACTTTTTACCAGCAAATTGGACTTAAATTTGAGGAAGAAACTAGTGAAATGCTACATTTGGAGCATAGCTCTGTATGGGGCTGAAACATGGACACTTAGGGCAGTAGATGAGAAACATCTGGAAAGTTTCGAAATGTGGTGTTGGAGAAGGATGGAGAAGATCAGTTGGACCGATTATGTGAGAAATGAAGAAGTGTTAATTACATTCAGTGAGCAGAGGAATATCCTACACGAAATAAGAAAACAGAAGGCTAATTGGATTGGTCATGTTTTACGCAGAAACTGCCTTCTAAAAGAAGTTATTGAAGGAAAAATAGAGGGGCGCATAGAAGTGACAAGAAGACGTAAGAAGATGCTGGATGACCTTGGGGACAGAAGAGGATACTGTCATTTGAAGGAGAAAGCTCTATATCTCATTAAGTGGAGCAATTGTTTTGGAAGAGACTGTGGACCTGTCGTCTGACAGATTACTGATGATGATGATGATGATAAGGAAATGAGAAAAATGTTTTTGACAATGACAAATTTTCGCCCCAAGAATAGCGACTCCTGGCTAACTTTAGAACTTATTCGGGTTATGCAACCGTATTGACTGGTTTTTGGTTACTTGTCACTCTTTTGAGGATAGAAATTTTCGACCATGAAGAAGAAGGCAGCAAGTTGTACGAAACGATGGCAACTCCCTGCCGGTCTGTTACGCAATATTACAACTCAGACGATGAGAACCTAACTCTTCCTGTCTGTGATGAATGTCGGCTCTCTGTGCCACTTCTCGTCATTAAGTTCACAGCCTTCAGAGAAACTGTTCATGCCTCATCGTAATTCGTTTAGTTATATTAATACTTCGGTGTTGCCACTGTCATTATGTTATATTCATGCTGACTGATTGACCACTGGGTCGTTGAGGCAGCACGTAAATGTATAAAGACATAAAAACGTAAAGCTATCCCTGTTACTGGCAGTGAAGGCCCATAGGGTTGTGAGACGTCGAGGCTCCCACATTATGTAGACACTCGGCTCACAGATGGCGGTGATGGTGTCAGCATTATGCGCCGTCCGTCCTTTACTCTCAGGAAGATTTCTGGTATTCACTTCTCTTAAAGACTGAGTCGACCCCAGTACCATAGTGGGCTAGAAGGATTAGGTTAATTGAAAAATCCAGTGTCGTCGGGTATCGAACCCACGACCTTCATAATAAAATTATTATTATTATTATTATATTATTGCTGCTGCTGCTGCTACTACCACCACCTCCATTGTATGTGTCATTACACAGCCTGAAGATTGTTTTGCCTGAAATACGGAGATCAGCAGCGGGCCCTTCAGGTGTAGGACAAATGTTCAGATACGTAACAGTTACTACGGTCCTCAGATAAATGTGTTTATTAAGGCAAAGCGTCACAAAATCCGTAACTGTTACAAATATCGGTAGAGGCCACTGTTTCCCCGATATCCAGTAATCAAATTCATTTCGTTTTTCATATTTTCATTGTCTCCGTGTGTTTTTTTGCCTAAAGTAAGTTGTCTGCAGGAACAACTGTTCTGGTAGAGAAATCATACATCTTAGCATATTAGTTTTCAAGTAACAGAAAACAACAGCGGTTTGGAATTGTTCATGATGCATGGTTCCACGCAGGCCTGTGTAAAATCAGAGAATGTAATTCTGCATTTTTTACTGGGTCCGGTAATGATATTTCGGAGTGCAGTATTCTTGCCGTCACTTTCGGAAACAAGATGTGTGCTGTTCGTTGCCCTGTAAAGGTGGGCATACAGTAAAGTAAAGTAAAGCTATCCCTGTACCAGGCTGTTAAGGCCCATATGGTTGTGAGATGTTGAGGTTCCCACTTTTTCTAGACAATCGGCCCATATATGGCGGCAAGGTTGTCAGCCCTACGCGCCGGTCGCCCTTTACCCCCAAGAATATTCGTGGTACTCTTTTCTGTTTGAGGCTGAGTCGACCCCAGGGCTATAGGTGTGGCTGGAAGGATTAGGTCAATTGAAAAAAAATCCCATGACCTCATCGGGACTTGGACCCGCGACGTTCGGCTTGTAGCACAGTGCCTCAACCAACTACGCTACCGCGTGCCCCCTGTACGTCAGCGAAAACGAAGGAGTGACAGGGAGCACCCGAATCCTCTCAGTGTCTAGGACGACAGCGAAGGGGAACAGACATTTGTTCGCCTCTGACCCATCTCGCTGGTAGAGCGATTCATCAAAGGAACTGCGTGTATGGTGTGGGTATGAAAGATTTGTGTAATGTTTGGCTTTAGCTTTTGTTCGCATGTTTTCTTGCCCCTCAGTCATTTCCTTTCATTTTCTCTTTGTAGTACTAGGTCTTCACTTTC